TATTCCAAGTCAATAAGCGAGCCTCCTGGTAAAAGGTTTACTGAAAATTCAGTACAAGGATAAGGTTATATCTAGGAGCATGTCTATGATAAAAATTAAACAAGAATAGAGAGAGTGGACATCCCTGACGGACATCACTTGAAGTAAAGAATTTCGGTTACAGTTCGCCATAAGCTCTCTCGACCAGTGGTGTTCGAGTAGAGAGCTTGTATAAGGTTAATGTGCTTCTTTGAATTTCAATGATTATAATTTAAGAACTGAATAATTGTCATTGTGTTATACAAATCATAGCGAGAAATGTAATTCGAAAATTCATGAACAGAATTTATATTGGGAATAAATTCATGTAACAAAACCTCATCTTAAGGCGATAGTTGATTTTTTTTTTTAGTTCTAAATTGTATTCAATAACTCCAACTGAATGATTCATGACATTGCATGTTTTAATACGTTTGAGAGTAATCAGACTTGTGAAACAAGCATTCGTTCATGTCATATTACAGTTTATTAAATTGGTTATGAATAAAAGTGTTAAGATGGGAATTAAAAGATTGAAAATAGAAACAATATACAAAAAATTATAATATAAATAAATAAAAAGGTAGTTATCTAAGATTTATTATTGGCATTTTTTTTCAGAATATAACTTCATTCTGACAATGAGTATCGCTTTGGTTATATGGCCGTCACGTCCTGGTACGGGATTTATCAGTAGTGTACACCCACGAGCCCCGCACGCAGGAGTCGAACCTTAAGTCTCGTATGCGAACCCTTAACCTCTTGACCACTGAGCCTGCACTCAACGGTGTAAATGTCTAACTTCAGTCGATCCAAAATACTGCACGACCTCATCCATTGTCTTCAGTGGGTAAATGTCTCACATCCGATACGATTGAACTCCACTGTTCATAGCTTCTCACTAGAACCCACTAACATCCCATTAATGAAAATTATTTGACTTGTCAAGCTAGCGGGAATTTGTAATTAGTAAGTTTATGTTGAATTGAATACGTGACAATCAGATAGGTTCTAATCGATTATATAAATATACGCGAAACTCATTCCAGTTTAAAAGTTATTCGCGCTGTTATTAAAAAATATAACATACTCCATGTAGGTATACTTTATTTGATAATCTTATAGATTTCAGAAATCTTTTATGATAAGTGATAGACAATGAAGTTGTTGTTTGATTTTTATACACTTAGAATATGCAGATGATATAGTTCTGTCTGGTGAAGACGCTCACAAAATGCAGAGTCTTTTGACCACCTTAAGAAACAATGCTAGCACGTTCAGGATGCGATTCTCCCCGTCGAAATGCAAAATGTTACTTCAAGATTGGGTTGCATCGGCACCTGAACTAGTGATAGGGAGTGAAGTAGTTGAATGCGTCGACCACTTTACTTATGGTGAGAGTTTCATCAATCCTGAAGGTCTGGTGTCTGACGAAATCACAGCATGGGTACAAAAGCTTTGGCTTTTAACAACTTGCGTCACTTATGGCATAGATAAGATGTCCGTCTGCTCACCAGAGGACGAGTATACTGAGCAACAGTTCGCTCTATCCTACTTTACGAGTGTGAAGAAGGGATAGGAATAGCAGAGGATATTCGTAGGTCGCTAATATTCTATCGTAAGTGGGTCCAAAGTATTGCTTGAGTATTCTAGCACCACGAAGTAAGCAATGAATCGGATAGAAATATGGTACTAAGTAGGGATGGAAAATTGATAGAAGTTGAGAAACTTCATCAGTTGAGGTGGTTGGGACAGTGTTACAAATGCCCAACTACTGGCTGCATCGTTGAGCTATGTTTTGTGGTGTAGGACTAGGTTGGAAGAAAGCTAGGGGCGGTCAAGCCGAAGCTTGGTACAAATTCATGAAGTCACTGATGAGTAAACTGAGTCATGTTGGTAGATATTGGGTTTCGCGAGACGAAAGTAACCGGTGGTTAGAGACCTTGGATGACATGGTTCAAAACCATTTGCAATGGCGCAGGTGCATGCACTCGTCGTGTTCTATGAAATTCTAATCTTCCGAATTCCTCATTATCTTTATCTTTTTAAGTTTCTTTCACTAGATTATACTTCTTAAATATTATCTTGGAAGCGTAATCTTCTCCATTACCAGCAATACGTCTACTATCTCTACCACCGTGGGATTTGAACTGACACATCAGTCTCTATGCTAATATGGTATGGCAGCGCAAACTTATGTACATACGTACGAAGTTCTACGTTGTAACTTACTGACTTGAAAAAACCGAGATCAAAGTAGGTGATTTTCAATGATAACGACCATCTAACTCATTCAACTTAACCGAACACAGTGAATGAGGTTGTGCCATACCTTAGATTAATTAAAGTTAGGCATTAACAGTATTGGATTCCAGTTCAGTCGTCCAGAGGTTAAGTGTTCGCGCATGACACCGAAGGTCCTTTGTTCGATTCTCGCGAGCGGGTATTATAGATGCTCACTGTTGGTAAGTCCCATACTAGGAAGAAATAGCTTTCCATGTTTCTAATAGTAGTGGTCTAACCTTGGTTGATTCATGGTTTCAAAAAAACTATAGAGTCACTCATTAAGTATATTTTTCTCTTCTTTACCAATCGCTGTGAAAAAAAGATAAACATGAATTTATTGATTTTTTTTTCTCTGTTCATTCCATACACAAAATGAAGCAAATATTTCATATTGAAAGTATAACTTATCGAATTATCTGGTTGGTCATTTTTTTAAAACAAAATTCTTTTTCTGATACAATTCTGTTTTTGTATAAGTCCTGTGGTTAGTCAATTAACATATATTGCTAATCAAAATCAATAATTTCATGTATATGAACGACGTCTAACTATCACTTCATATTTCAATATACCACATGTGACGTTGAGTTGCTTAGACTAATCCTGTTCACTATGTATGTAACCTGATCGATAGAATTCAATCAGCACTTAGAGAAAGACTTCAATCATATGAGATTGTAACTTTCGTAGGTGGACTTGTGTTATTCTGATGCCCTAGTTGTATTCTATGTTAGTTATATCACAAATAGGTGATTTAACATATTCAACTATACGACTTGGTAATTTTCAAAACTAACCAGATTACTAGTTACTTGTTGCTCAATATGTAATTATCTCATATAAATATATATATAATACTTATTGATCTGTTGAAAAATTTTATTTCATTCCTAATTATGAGATTCATAAAGTGTGTTTTATGCATTGAAAAAATAATCAATGTTCACAACCATTGTAAAATTATTTTGAGAAATATTTTGTAAGTGTTAAGGACAATACTTGTTGTTGTGTTTTGTATTTTTTTTTTCATTCAACCCGTATACAAATCGATTGAATATTTTTGCTATTGAAATGAAAATGTTTGTAAAACACTGATCGAAAGTATTAATTGTTCTATGTTCTAACATTCATTACAGAATGATGGAGATTGCTGTTTGTTTTTTATTGAAATCATCAATCGATCATTGTTAGACTACTACCATTAGGAACCAGGAAGCACTGAACATCATTGACAGTGTACATCCACGACGCCTGCAAACGAAAATTGTATCGTACGCGACCACTAAGCCGGTATCTAATGACGTGTATGCCTTACTTCAGTTAATTCATGATATTGCGCGACCTCATTCATTGTCTTCGTTGAGTAACTGCCTCACATTTGACATTGTTGTACTCCACTGATCACAGCTTCTAAAATTGAACTTCGAGAGTTTTCCCACGAAGCCATGACCATTAGAGTTCAACCCTATTGAGTCTAGGCAGTAGACAATGGGTGAGGTTGTGCAATACTTTAGATTGATCAAAGTTCAACGTTAACAGTATTGGATGCCGGCTAAGTGGTCTAGAGGTTAAGCGTTTACACACAAAACCTATGGTGCTTGGTTCGATTATCACAAGCGGAGGTCATTGATGAGTGCCACACTAGAACGAAAAGGTCATCTAGTGGTTCCAGGTTTCTAATGATGGTCTAACAATCATCGGCTCATGATTCCGATTCCCCAATATCCTAAAGTGTACCTTGATGGGACTATTGCTCCCCTATTGGATTCGAAGTCGAGTCACTTAGCTTCTTAGTGGAAGATATTACTAGCACAGAGATATTTAGTAAACAACTGTTATCCTAAAGGAATGAGATATATACATTGAAAGATCAATTAGTTCTTTCAAGATCACATGTACACCTTACTTGTTAGTGATAGTTAACATAAAATCTAAACGTGGATTATTTTGTCAACAACTTCCAACCAATACCTAACGTTTGAATACTGTTAATAGAATTTCGGGTCATTTCTATGAGTGATTGATCACATCACAGTTTGGTTAACTGAATTTGACCGTCAGTTAGTGTTGGTATTTTAATTTATAAAAATTAGCTACTACTACTACTACTACTACTACTACTACTACTGCTACTACTACTATTACTACTACTACTACTGCTACTACTACTCACACTACTACTACTACTATTCACACTACTACTGCTACTACAACTACTACTTTTACTATTATTACTACTATTACTGCTACTACTCACACTACAACCACTATTGTACAGCAATGAAAGATTGACCTTTATTTCTTTTGAATAGTATACACCTCAGAGATTGTTATCCTTAATCTAACTGACAATAGAAAGAAGAACTTTCAAATCTGTTAACAATTCTCTATTCACGCAGTTCAAGTTCAATAATCAATACTTTTGTTTAACTTTCTTGATGAAATATATTATCAGCATCCTTATTCAGCATGAACACCATGTAGTTATCGGCACACACACAAACTATATGGATGACCCTAAGTCAATCATTCAGATTCAAGATAACAATTAGTAAATTTTAGGGCATTCTTTCAAATGTCCTTACAAATAATTTACATCTTAATAAAACGTATACAAAACTTACTGATATTCTGCAGCTTAAACTCTAAAAATTGACAAATATTGACAAAGTAACACAGATTCAAAAATAAACTTAATGATAGACAATGAATTAATAGTTCTAGTAAAATCGTAAACAATTGGCATTTTGAATTTTTGTTTCTAAAATAGACTGAAATATTTTTTTTCGAAAAAAAGCAATATACTTTATACAAGAAACAAATAGATTCAAGTTAGTGTCTCGTGTGAAGTTCATGAACTTATCTAGCCGGCAAAATATAAATCCTTCCTAACTATACTTTTAAAGTTTAACTTTTATATATATATATATATATATATATATATATATATATATATATATATATATATATATATTACAGTTGATATTAGTTTATGATAAAAAACTATCACTTAAATTTTTAACCTTAAATCATTTTAGAATTCTTTTCTAAACACCCACCTATTTCCTTCTTTTATTGATATATCATAAATTGCCTTAAACACAACAAACTGTTCTTTAATCGGCTGTTTAGTTAGGTTATGCCAATCAAAGTTATTTGAAATTTTGTAAGGTCACATTGATAATAGTTTATTTATCTATTTACTTCTATTTATCGAATGACCATAGATATTTTCTAGTTAAATGGGATTATAATTATTTCTAATAATTACTGAGAAAATAATTGTCATCATAAATTATTATTATTATTTTCATTCTTCATTTTTTATTGTTTGATTAAAAAAATTATTTAATTGTTATTACCCTAGACGAAGAATTCATATAAATCTTTATTTTTAAAAAAAAAAACATAATGATCGAAATTCATTGGACCAATCAGAAATCGATTAAAATAATAAGCGCATATGATTGGTTAATAAGATATGACTGTCACACTTCCCTAGGCATTAGACACTTATCATTGGTGTGTGTACTTAACATCTCGATTTATTTAATCAATAAACTTCCTTTCCTATTTTCGGCCTTTTCACCTGAATAAATAAATGATTAAGGATTGTATATATATGAGGATTAGTTATCAATATCAAA